CTGGTATATGGGAGACCCAAGTTCAAGTCCCTGCTCTGCTTGATTTGGAGCAGGGAGTTGGCTGTTCTGGGGTGGGGCTCTGTTGATTCCATCCTGGAGCTGATAAACCTTCATGATCAAAGTTCCATCCAAATCACTACACTTCTGTGAATGGTTTTGACGAATCTGTATTTTCCAATATAAAAACATTCTGCTGAAAAATTCCTGACCATCTTTAGTCAGATGGCCAAGAATGAAGTTTAAGCCGTGCTGGAGACAGCTGAAGAGCTAGCACATCCCTACCTCCCCACAGCTGGTGAAGTGGGTAAGAACTTGTGTGGGTCACACCCAGGTTGGGAATTTCAAAGAAGCCTAAGGGAGTTCAGTGTCCAGCTTCTACTGATTTCCAGTAAAAGTTGAGTACCTACATCTCATAGGTTCTTTTGAAAATTCCAGTCCTGGTGTCAATATTTTTGACATAGCTCCAAAATAAAATGGGGGCATCCCAATGTTCCACTCTTTTCGTTACCTTGCACTTTCCCTCTATTTGGAGTTGGCTGATATAATAACAAGCGAGTAAATGGATAAAGGGCCCCTTGCATTGATAAGACCAAATAATTAACAGGGTTCCCACTTGAACTAGCTTTAGGCCATGAGCTACTCCTTCATTCTAGTCCTTGCTTTCATCCATTCACACACTGGGGTGTAAAAGGTAGACAAATATCAGACTGATAGAAGAGAGTTAGTTCAAAATATGTCCCCAGGCATCCTGTGAAGTGAGACTTGGCCACAGCTGCGATGACATATGTTAAGCTGTTATGTAACATTTGTTTACCTGAAGATTGCTCAGTAAAATGCACACATCTGGGAGAGCAAGATCCCAAGCCATAAAACGATGACTGGTGCTGAGTGTGTTTACATCCTGGAGCACATGGTGTCACTTGGAGGGTGTTAATGCTTCATGGATAGGGGAAATATAAGTGTGTGGTCAGTGGTTTTGTTTCTTACCAAAGGGTAAATGGTAGTAAATGGGGAGGAGATACTTTAAGAACCACTGACCTTTCTAGAAAAGCACCGGCTAATTTCAGAGGAAAAGTGGTTACACACGCGGGATCTGGGTTTAATTCCCAGCTCTGCCACAAATTCCTGTAGGGCCTCAGACTAGTCATTTCAGTTCTTTGTGCTTCTGTTCCCCATTTGTAAAATAGGTATAATCTTTTCTTCCAGCCATTGTCTGTTTAGATTACAAATTCTTAGGGGAAGAGACTGTCTTCTGCTTCTGCCTAGCAAAACAAGACCTGAATCAGTTGGGGACTTCAGGCGCTGCCATAATACAAATAACAGCAATAGTAGTTTGCCCAATTTCTCATTAAAACAATTCTATCACTAGATTGGTGGCAAACAGTTGTAATATTAGTGCTGTTGCAAAAGGGCCAGCCTTTTAAAGGTATTGAGAAACCTAAAGATTCCGATAGGGATCTAGTGAGATGTTCAAAGTGCAAGGTGCCTATCTCTAACAATGGGAATTATGTGCCTAGGAACTTTTTGAAAATCCCACCGGGTGCCAATTTACCTTTCTGTGTTCCTAAATACTTTTGAAAATCTGCCCGTTAGTATCTCAGGTGCAGGTAGAACATGTGCTGCGAAGGTTTTCTAAAAGCTCTGCTCTAGGAATTATTGTGGGGACAGGGCCGGCTCTACCATTTTTGCCGCCCCAAGCAAAATAAATAAATAAATAAATAAATAAATAAAAGCTGCCCGAACTGCCGAAGCAAAATAAATAAATAAATAAAAAGGCCGCTCGGTTTGCCGCCGCAAGAATGGATGGAATGCCGCCCATAAGCGTTCGCCGCCCCAGGTACTTGCTTCCTCCGTTATACAGGAGGTCAGACTAGATGACCACAGTGGGCCTTTCTGGCCTTATAATCTATGAATTTATGAGTCAGGCTTTCAAATGAAGATTTGGGGAAGCTGTGTTCCATTCTGACATTATTGCCTTTCATTTGGCAGCATAACCTTATTCTCTTGTTTCTTTTAGTTAAACCTACAGCTTTTGCAGAAAGGCATGGAATGGCTTCTGCTCAGCAGCAGCGAGATTATGACAGTTACTGGGTGCGTTTGGGCTCCATGATGACCAAGTTGCAGCAATGTGCTTTCCAGCATTCCCAGAGCAAGGTGAGGGATGCCGGCCAAAGCATCTGGGAGGCTCTTCAAACTAGTTCCCTGGTAGGAACCAAGTTCTTTCCCCTTCCTCCTTATCCCAGAGATGTTCTGGGCAGGACCACAATATAACTAATCTTCTTCTTTGAGTGGCCTCTGCATATTCCCGCTCTTGAGATCTACCCAGTGCTTAATTTTAATGAAAGCGGTGCTGGGGCTCAAGCAGTTAAGTGCTGGCAATCAATAATTTTTTTACTTTCATAACTGATACGGCAAGCCCAGAAGTGCCGGGGTTATGAATTGCCAAGCCTAAAGGTGCCGGGGCTCAGCCCTGGCAAGCCCTGAAGCAAATTAAGTACTGAATGTACCTGTGGCACAGCCAGGATCAGTAAGGAGTCTGGTGGCACCTTAAAGACTAACAGATTTATTTGGGCGTAAGCTTTCGTGAGTTAAAACCTCACT